CAAAAAGTTCGAACTTTCAACTTTTAATTTTGACATATTTGTCAACTTCATAAAAAATCCTTTAAAATGAGTCCAAACTCGACATATTTAACTTTAATATTAATGGAAATACAATCACTTCCGGTTTGAAACGTCAACGTCAATTTTTACATATTTGTCATCTTCATCAAAAACCCTTTAAAATGAGTCCAAACATGACGCACTTATCTCAAAAAATAAAAAAGTTTGAATAAAAAACATTAAACCCGAAGTTAGCAACAATGAAGATAGAAATTTAGTTTTTAAATATTAATACCAACCTTAATTTTAGATTTTTTTTAATATATTTTTGTTTTTATGACGAATTTTAAGCCATTTTATAAAAAATTAAGAATATATCAAAATGACATTGACATTTCAAACCGGAAGTTGCTTATATATCGAGTAATATTGGAATTAAACGTATCATGTTTGGGCTGATTTAAAAAGATTTTTTTCACGACGATTACAAATATGTCAAATTTGACGTTGACATTCCTAACCGGAAGTTGACCATAACTTCATTAATATTGAAAATAAATATGCCGTGTTTGTACTTATTTTAAAGGATTTTTAATGAAGATTATAAATATGTAAAAATTGAGGTTGACATTTTAAACCACATAAAGCCTGTGTATTCGAAATATTCGAGCCAAAATGACGGTTTGACAGCTTGCCAGTGCACGTCACCACTTATTTACAAAAAATATTGTCGTCTTTTTGCCTTTGGAGTTGCAAAAAAACAACTTCATGGTGTTCTTTCATGATATATTCTTTATTAAAAACACCTTTAAAATGACTCCAAACATGATGCATTTATATCAAAAAACAAATAAGAGAATAGAAAACATTAACCTTGAATTTTTTTAGTTCTAGGTTCTAGTTTTGCACTATCACTAGAACTAACACAAGACCTAATACTAGAATCATTCAAATATTAGTTCTAGTGACAGTGCTAGGTAGCGTTAGTTAGCATTAGATATTAAAGTTCCTAGATTATCAAAGTACTAATATGTCAAAATTTGACGTTGACATTCCTAATCGGAAGTTGACCATAACTTCATTAATATTGAAAATAAATATGTCGTGTTTGTACTCATTTTAAAGGATTTTTAATGAAGATTACAAATATGTCAAAATTCAGGTTGACATTTTAAACCTTAATTTTATTATTATATTCGTAATATTCATAAAATAATCTTTAAAGTGAGTCCAAACTTGACGCATTTATCTCAAAAAACCAAAAAGTTCGAACTTTCAACTTTTAATTTTGTCATATTTGTCAACTTCATAAAAATCCTTTAAAATGAGTCCAAACTCGACATATTTAACTTTAATATTAATGGAAATACAATCACTTCCGGTTTGAAACGTCAACGTCAATTTTGACATATTTGTCATCTTCATTAAAAAACCTTTAAAATGAGTCCAAAGATGACGCACTTATCTCAAAAAACAAAAAAGTTAGAATAAAAAACATTAAACCCGAAGTTAGCAACAATGAAGATAGCAATTTAATTTTTAAATATTAATACCAACCTTAATTTTTGATTTTTTTTATTATATTTTTGTTTTTGTGACAAATATTAAGACATTTTGTAAAAATTAAGAATATGTCAAAATGACATTGACATTTCAAATCGGAAGTTGCTTATATCTCGAGAAATATTGGAATTAAACGTAAACGTGTCATGTTTGGGCTGATTTAAAAAGATTTTTTCACGACGATTACAAATATGTCAAATTTAACGTTGACATTCCTAACCGGAAGTTGACCATATCTTCATTAATATTGAAGATAAATATGCCGTGTTTGTACTTATTTTAAAGGATTTTTAATGAAGATTATAAATATGTCAAAATTGAGGTTGACATTTTAAACCACATGAAGCCTGTGTATTCGAAATATTCGAGCCAAAATGGCGGTTTGACAGCTTGCCAGTGCACATCACAACTTATTTACAAAAATGTCGTCTTGCTGCCTTTGGAGTTGTAAAAAAAGCAGTAAAAAGGGCTTTCGACTCTTCAAAGTACAACGAGAAAAAAGAAAGAAAGGAAATTTGGCGTAATTTTAACAACAGAACATAGTTTTAAATTTCCCGCTTGACTTTCGAGAGGTATTTTGATGATCTAGGGACTTTATTAGATATCACTGTGTTGCATATTTTTATGTAATCAAAATTAACACTAGACCTAGAACTAGAAACATTCAGGTCTAGCGGCACGTCTTTTAAAACAGCTAAATGCGAATAATTCTAGTTCTAGGTCTTCTGTTAGTTCTAGTGATAGTATAAAAGTAGAACTAACACTAGACCTAGAACTAGAAAGTATCGAGTTTAACTCCACCCAGAATTTACAACCCATTAATCATGCCCAACCCGACATTTGAGAAATTCGCACTGGTTTAAACGTTAATTAACCTAACTCAAAGTGGAATTTCTACACAAAATTCTTAAAGAGGCTGCATCAGACATAGATGTTAGGTTATCTTTAGTTTATAGATGGTAAACAACGACATTTTAGTCGTTGTGTGTCGAAAACCTAAGTATTAACCGTATTTCACCCGAAAATATAACCGTTTTAACCAAATATGCTGTGAAAATACTTATATGGTTTCGATGACGTTACGTTGAAACTTTAAAGTGGTTTTTCGATAAAATTTACACTTTTTCTTATTTGTAACGGCTTACTTAAGTTATTTCCTGTCGATTAAAAAATAATTATTGATTTTTAAGCGACATGATAATTCTTGAATTATACCAAAAGTGAATTTTTTATACCAAAACAATCTTTACACGTTACATGACACTTTTGACAACCATAATCAGTCTTGTAAAACCCGTCGGGACAATCAGGTAAGCACGCCCCGGCTGCAAATTCCCACCCCGCGGGACAAGTAACGCATTGATCACTTCCGGGGCCACTACAGGTTTCACAACTAAGATGGCATCGTGTGCAAACGTCGCGATCGCTGTAATAACCATCGGCACATGCTACCAAACACCGCCCGTTTTGTAATAACAATCCTTTTGTACATTCCGTACAATTGTTTTTAGACCAACATTCCGAGCAGGTGTGAACGCATGGGATGCAATTTTTACTGGTGGGAGTGTCTCGGTAAAAACCTTTGTTGCATTGAGATACGCAATGAGTTCCTTCTAAAAGTAGGGGGTCTACACAGGAAAGGCAAGCATCTTCTGTTGGACCATCGCATGTTTCACACGTTGAGTGACAAGGTTTACAAAATGTTCCATCTTTGTATTCATCTAGAAATGTAGAAATTTTTTTTATTAATTATTTAATTAATTAATTTTTTGTTTATACCAGGATCACATTTTTGACTTTCAATCTCATTCGGCACACATCGTCCTTTACCATTAAGTTCCCACCCTTTCAAACACACCAAACAATTCGTGCGATTACATTCTGTACATCCATTGGGGCATTCAACACATTCTCGTTGAACTGGATCGGAATAATGTTTATCAGGACATTTTTCCTCGCAACTTCCTTTTAACCAGAAACGATCATGCCCACAATTAACGCATTGGGAACTATTTGATCCTGTACACGTTTCACACGTTCTATGACAAGGTGCACACCTACAAGATACATTTAATTATAAGTATTTGAAATAATTTTTTTAATAAGTTACGTATAATCTTCAGTTTCAAAAGTTTTTGGTGGACAGGATGCTAGGCACTTATTTTGGTATAATACTAAGTGGCGTTCGCAACTGAGACAATCATCGGGGCGTTCTTGGCAACTTCTACAATTTGGTTGACATGGAATACATCTTTTATTCCTTACATCTACTTAAAAAAATATATTTGTATTTGTAAATAAAAAACTAAATGATTGTTTACCTTCATAATATCCTTCTGGGCATTGTTGCAAGCAAACATTTAGATCGATAACATGAACATAACCAGGTGAGCATGTTTGGCAATGTTGTTGGGTTGGTCCCGAGCACGTAAAACAAGATTCATGACAAGGTTGGCAAACTCTATCTCGATCTGAATAACTTCTTGGTGGGCAAACACTAACACAAGTTCTAAAAAAAAGAAATTAATATTATTTTATATTTGAAATGTCATTGTCAAAAACAAACTCCAAAACAATACCAACCTAAAAAAAAAATTTTTTAACGCATTTTTTTGAATAAATATTGGTTATAATCTAATTAAAACCTCAAAAATCGTTCAAATAAATGGAGCTTAATGATGATTTTCGTTATTAATAAGTGAATAAGTTAAAAATTATAAAATATTATTAATTAGTTATAGTACGAATTTATAGTAATAGATGGCGGTGCGGGATTTTTATATTTGAGCTGTCATTTTTGAAAATGTCTATAATTATTGCTAAAATATCATTTTAACCATTAAAATATTAAAATCGTTAATGTAAGTGGGGGTTAATGACGATTTTCGTTATTAATAAGTAAAAAAAAATAAAATGTTATTAATTATTAATACTACGAATTTATAGTAATAGATGGCGGTGGGAGATTTTTATATTGGAGCTATCAGTGTTGAAAATGTCTATAATTATTGCTAAACTATTATTTTAACAATTAAAACATCAAAAATCGTTAAAATAAATGGAGCTTAATGATGATTTTCGTTATTAATAAGTGAATAAGTTAAAAAATTATAAAATGTTATTACTTAGTTATAGTACGAATTTATAGTAATAGATGGCGGTGGGCGATTTTTATATTTGAGCTATCAGTATTGAAAATGTGTATAATTATTGCTAAAATATCATTTTAACAATTAAAATCTTAAAAATCATTAATGTAAGTGGAGGTTAATGACGACTTTCGTTATTAATAAGTAATAATTATAAAAAATAAAATGTTATTAATTATTAATAGTACGAATTTATAGTAATAGATGGCGGTGGGGGATTTTTATATGAGCTGTCATTATTAAAAATTTCTAATTATTGCTAAAATATCATTTTAACAATTAAAATCTTAAAAATCGTTAATGTAAGTGGAGGTTAAGGACGACTTTCGTTATAAATAAGTAATTAGTAAAAAAAATAAAATGTTATTAATTATTAATATTACGAATTTATAGTAATAGATGGCGATAGGAGATTTTTATATTTGAAAATGTCAATAACTATTGCTAATATATCATTTTAAGAATTAAAATCTTAAAAATCATTAATGTAAGTGGAGGTTAATGACGATTTTCGTTATTAATAAGTAATAAATAAAGAAACTAAAATGTTATTAATTGTGAATAGTACGAATTTATAGTAATAGATGGCGGTAGGGGATTTTTATATTTGAGCTGTCATTATTGAAAATGTCTAATTATTGCTAAAATATCATTTTAACAATTAAAATCTTAAAAATCGTTAATGTATGTGAAGGTTAAGGACGACTTTTGTTATTAATAAGTAATTAGTAAAAAAAATAAAATGTTATTAATTATTAATATTACGAATTTATAGTAATAGATGGCGATAGGAGATTTTTATATTTGAAAATGTCAATAACTATTGCTAATATATCATTTTAAGAATTAAAATCTTAAAAATCATTAATGTAAGTGGAGGTTAATGACGATTTTCGTTATTAATAAGTAATAAATAAAGAAACTAAAATGTTATTAATTGTGAATAGTACGAATTTATAGTAATAGATGGCGGTGGGGGATTTTTATATGTGCTGTCATTATTAAAAATGTCTAATTATTGCTAAATCATTTTAACAATTAAAATCTTAAAAATCGTTAATGTATGTGAAGGTTAAGGACGACTTTTGTTATGAATAAATAAATAGTAAAAAAAATAAAATGTTATTAATTATTAATATTACGAATTTATAGTAATAGATGGCAATAGGAGATTTTTATATTTGAAAATGTCAACAACTATTGCTAATATATCATTTTAAGAATTAAAATCTTAAAAATCATTAATGTAAGTGGAGGTTAATGACGATTTTCGTTATTAATAAGTAATAAATAAAGAAACTAAAATGTTATTAATTGTGAATAGTACGAATTTATAGTAATAGATGGCGGGGGGGATTTTTATATGAGCTGTCATTATTAAAAATGTCTAATTATTGCTAAAATATCATTTTAACAATTAAAATCTTAAAAATCGTTAATGTAAGTGGAGGTTAAGGACGACTTTCGTTATTAATAAGTAATTAGTAAAAAAAATAAAATGTTATTAATTATTAATATTACGAATTTATAGTAATAGATGGCGATAGGAGATTTTTATATTTGAAAATGTCAATAACTATTGCTAATATATCATTTTAAGAATTAAAATCTTAAAAATCATTAATGTAAGTGGAGGTTAATGACGATTTTCGTTATTAATAAGTAATAAATAAAGAAACTAAAATGTTATTAATTGTGAATAGTACGAATTTATAGTAATAGATGGCGGTAGGGGATTTTTATATTTGAGCTGTCATTATTGAAAATGTCTAATTATTGCTAAAATATCATTTTAACAATTAAAATCTTAAAAATCGTTAATGTATGTGAAGATTAATGACGATTCTTGTTATTAATAAGTAATAAAATAAAATATTATTAATTATTAATAGTACGAATTTATGATAATAGATGGCGCTTGAATGTTTTAAATTAATAATAAACTTACTTATCCATTCGATTATTTCTGCATGCAATACATTTTTCAGCACCTTTTCCGAAACAACCCTGCCCATCACACTGTTCATGACAATTATCTTTATGTTCATCCTCTTCAAATTCAATGACATTATTATTATTTCTAACAATCGTTTTTTTACCATCCAAAGAGGTAATACTTTCTTCTGGGTCCGATCCGGAGAAGCTATAAACATTTTGGAAATTATTAAATCCTCGATATACATCACTGTTGTATAAATTATCGGTAACAATGGGTTGTTGAGTTTGTTGATCGCGAACGAAAAACGGGGATAACGAGGGTACATCTAAATTTTTAATCGATTTATATGGAACTGAATTTGGTTGTTTTAATCGGATCGGATTTACTTGCGTCCCATAAAAGATTAATTGCCATTTTTTTAAAATTCCTGGTCGATCTACTTGTCGATTACCGGAGTTCACTATTTGTAAAGTCCATCTACCCACGGCTGTTTCGCCCCAAAAATGAACGCTCAAAAATGGCCAATCATCAAAATTCGATGAGACAACATCTCGCGGTCTTTCAAATAATAACGTCGATGTGGTTCCCATAGGAGATGTTAACATTATCTTTAAATTCCCTCTTGGGAAAAATCGCAACGAGATTTTACACTGAACGTGTTCTAAGAAAACAACTTCGTTTAAAGTTCCTTTACAAGCACTAACATCCATGTGTAAAGTTAAAGTGTATTTTGATGATGAATCAATTTGGCGGTCTTCTAATAATTCTTGAGATTTACAAATGTGTTGAGGTGGAACTGAAATCCACATTTCCGCTAAATTAACCATAGCGGCTGCGTCCATTAATCCATAACCAAATTTATGACTAACTTTTCTTTTGACTCCGTTCGTTATCCATCCGGCTTCTTTTTCTAAGGGGGCTGAGCGAGATGTTAAAACTACTAAGTATTGCATATCACGCCATGTTAAATTTGGATTTGCTTCTAAAGCCAAGGCGCATATCCCGGCTGCTAAAGGCGCCGATGCGGAAGTTCCGGTGTGTTCTACTGTACAAATATGATCCGGACGTAATCTAGCGTCCATATCAACAGTCGCAATGCTTTTATCGTGACCAGGAGTTCCTGAACTATAAGTTGTTGCTAAAGTTGAAGAACATTCTTCTAAATACCAAGGTTTATATCTAAAAAGAAATAATAAAAGATTTTAGAAAATTATTAATGGTAATAATTGGGGCGTTACTTCCTTTATTACAACAAAACTTTCACTTAATAATCATAATAAAAAACAAAACCACGTAATTTAAACCTTTGTAAACATTTACTTTGCGAATGGTATCAATTAGTTCACTTAACATTTATTGAATTGGACCAAATCGAAAAAAAAGGGGTCTTATCTTTAGTTTTTGTAATTGGTATTTGTTTCCATTGAGAGAAGTTTCTAAAGTTAGGGCGGCAAATGGATAAATGAACGAACCGACTACAAAAGATTGAATGGAAAGGGCTTAAAGAAGGACGAAATCCCTACTAAATTTACAATTACAATTATTCACTATACTCTATTTTTTAATTGAACACCATGAAGTTGTCCATTTCTCTATTATATAATAACTAACTTCAGGATTAAAATATCAACCTCAATTTTGATATATTTGTAATCTTCATTAAAAATCCTTTAAAATGAGCCCAAAAATGCTACGTTTAATTCCAATATTAATCGAGATATAAGCAATTTCCGGTTTGAAATGTCAATGTCATTTTGACAAATTCTTAATTTTTATAAAATGTCTTAAAATTTATCACAAAAACGAAAATACAATAACAAAAATTAAAGATTAAGGTTGGTATTAATATTTAATAATTAAATTGCTATCTTCATTGTTGCTAACTTCGGGTTTAATCTTTTTTATTCAACCTTTTTTGTTTTTTGAGATAAGTGCGTCATGTTTGTACTCATTTTAAAGGTTATTTTATAAAGATTACGAATATAACAATAAAATTAACATGATTAAAATTAAGTACGTAATCTATTTTACCAGTATTATCGTTAAGGTTTGCAATTAAATGTGATAAGTCTGTATTTTTAACTGGTCATTTGTTAAATTTTTTTTATCCGACTAGCTTCGGTTCAAAAAATCATCTTCAGAGATAAAAGTCAAAATTTAAGAAACTAACATTGTAATTAACCTTAACCTCATAATTATTACTTATTAAAAACAATATTAAAGTCACTATATATACGTTAAACACATTTAACTAATTAGACAAACGTTCTGCAGAATTAAAAGTCGTGTAATTCAGCTTTTTGACCAATGAGAGCGGTTAAAAGCGCTATAACTATGGTAATTATCCCTTAGATGGTTTATCAGAAGGATGGTAAAAGTGGGCTTTAATGGATAAAATCGATTTTTTTTAAATCTCCAATAATTTTCAACTAATAAAGTTAGGTTATGTTTTCTATCAAACTACATTCCCTAATTTAAGGGAAAAAATCGCTTACTGGAATCCACACTCACTTTAAACACATACTTTAGGAGTCCAAAAACGTATTTTAATGTTTTTTTCGCTTCATTTGAACTTATTTTTTTAATAAAAGTCGATAATATTAGCAAGAAGTAAATTGACGTTTTTAAAACGTCAAATATGATTTAACGTAGGTGATTAACGCTAGATGGCGAGAGTGTAAAAAAGGATTTTTTTAAGATTTAAAAAAAAATTAAATGTAAAAATTTGAAATTTTCTCCTAAACAAAGATTAATTTTCTTTCCTTTTATTTTTAAACAATATAATTTATTGAATCAAAGTTTTTTAAAATAAAAATAAAAAATAAATTAAAAAATTGACGCTAGATGGGGGTGAGCGAAATGTCAACAATATCATTTAAATGTCAAATTTTAATTTTCGTCTAAATGAAGATTAATTGTCTCGTGTTATCTTAAAAGAATCATTTACTAATTCAAATTAAAGCTTAAAGTATCTGCCTTAAAATGATGCATGATAAGTTGTGTGTTTAGTGTTGTCTTTCTTTGATACTTTCTAGTTCTAGGTCTAGTGTTAGTTCTAGTTTTACACTAGCACTATCACTAGAACTAACACAAGACCTAGAACTAGAATCATTCAGGTTTAGCCGTCTTGAGAGACGTGTGGCTAAACCCGAATGTTTTTAGTTCTAGGTCTAGTGTTAGTTCTAGTTCTAGTATTACTCTAGTTTATTTTTATTGAGCTATAACGAACACTGCCTCCTCCATATTGATCCGTTATTATACTATATTATATTCGTACATTTACATTGTGTAAACGTGACTTTTCATTTTACTCCTCCGAATTAAAAAATAGAGTATAGTTAAGCACTTTGTTACAGAAAAACTAAAAAAAAAAAAGATAAGATCTTACCCTCCTTGTGTGGCACTCGATATACTAAGGGTGAAAATACTATTAGTGTATCCATCACAGTTGCACGAATCCGTGTGTCTGCCTCCATTTCCCGAAGCCCAAACAAATATAGATCCTTTTCCTTTTCGCCCGCTGGTCACTCCATAGATAAAAGCCCTTCTAGCAAGAGGACCTGGCCCATCGACCGTTTTTCCATCATCTTCCGGACCCCACGAAGCACTATAGATATCTATGTGTTCCGGGTTTAATCCTAAAGCTTTCGCTTCAACCGCATCGTTCACAATCCCATCCAACATTCTAACCCCTAATAAAAAAGAAAGAAATAATTAAAGAGATTAAAAAAAATTTAATTACAATAATTACCTCCAATACTAGCATTATAAGCAATACCAATACCACAATATTGGTTAAATGCAACGGCGGCAACTTCGCCTGCACACCTAGTGCCGTGTTTATTGTCGCCGTTGTCCTGGGGCATCGGATCGTTGTCGTTCCCGTTGATGTCTGTACTGGCGAGCGGATCCTGCAATATTAGAATTAATTACCAGCGCCGGAACATCCCCTTATCTGATTCCGATGATGATGGATCAAAGCGGGGCCGCGGAAGAGATACGAGCCTCCCGCTTTGAATAATAAACGACCCCAACGGACATAATGCCTTCTCTGCCAGTACGTAACAGTTTAATATATCGGAAACTCCGCAGAGAATTCAACCTCAACAGAGTTCGCGCAAAAATCAAAATGCTTCAGGAAATAATTCCGGGTGATTTTAAATATTTAAACGAACAATTGTTGAGTGTTGAGGAAAACATTTTTTTTTTGCTTACATAGTTTTGTACAAGATCCGGATGGTTCGTTTGGATTCCGTCATCTAATATTGATACTACAATGCCTTTTCCGGTGTAACCTTTTTTCCAAGCCGGTTCAACGTTCATATCTAATCCATCTTTAGCACCACCATTCTAAATAATTACGAGTAAATGTTAAGTAAAAAAAAAACGATAATAACAATAAAGATTTAACCACAAAAAAAAATAAAAGACTTTTTTATCTCTTACCAGGTACCATTGTTCTTTGAATAAAGGATCCGAAAATTCAGAGAGTCCCGAAGCTCTGTAACTTGCGTGTCCGCGTTTTCCGGCGCCAGTTAATGCTCCAAAGTATTGTAGAAACGGCGGGGGGTTATCCAGGTGGGAATAATCGCGTTTTCGACGTTTCTTTTCGTGCTGTTGTTGTACCCAGTGCACCTTAAAGTAAAGCAATTTTTCTTAAGATATTATCAAAAAAATTATTCGTTTAGTCGCTTTCAGCAATGTCGTCTGTGGATCCACATAAACAATTCTGTGGCTTGGTGCAAATTGGGCCAATGTCTTTTTTCTTGAAAATAAAGTCTATATTTGAAAAGCATTAATTTGTAATATATTTTAGTGCTAAAACGCCCAAATTCAAATTCCGCTTGGAAATATGCGTAATTATTATTAAATTAAAATTACTATTAATTTTATGCAATAAGGGCCAAAGTAGAGAATGCAATAACGGCCAATCTTGACTTTGGCAATTTTAAATGTAAGATTTTTAAATATGTACAGGATGGTTCAAATTCGATGTCCGAATAGGCTATCTCGGAAACTATAAGAGTTAGAAAAAAAGTAGCTTACATGTCATGATCAAGTTTTTCGAGATACTGCAAAAACCTCAAATATCGTAAAACCAGCAAGTGCAATTATCTTGGTTATTATTATAGGAGGAGTATTAATTATAACTAAGCCATTGTATGGACACTTTTTTACAGAGAATTTGATGACGTAGTCAAAAAAAATGTTTCGGTTTTAGATTTTGAGATATTATGACAATTTTCGTTTTTTTAAATGGAAACAACCACTGATTATTCACTAAATTCGTTATTTTTTTCTGATTACAAAAATATGGGGTTAGATAGGTCTATTTCTTATTGTTTTACAATAAAGCTAAAAATAAACTTTTTTTTAGTGTCATCAAAGAAATTAAATTTACAGTTTCCTGTAAGTTACGGTACTATAATTTAAAAGTTATTCTACTAAAAATGTATATAAAATTTACTTTATTTTCTAATATGGAACATCTAACATGTTAAACTTTTCGTAATCCATAAAAAAAAACAGGATTTTTAATACAAACAAATGTTGCTATGTTTATTTGAATTAAAAAAAAATATATGAGCGCCATCTATCAATAATTTATTAAGTCATTTAATAATAAATAATAATACTTCTATTAAGTATTAATAAAAAATGTGAAATAATGCAATCTATTTCTAATTTTTCTGTAAAACAAATATAAATTAAATAGTTCAACAAATGTATTTGTTTTTTTTAATTTTTAGTTATAATTTACAGGAAACTGTAAATTTAATTTCTTTGACGACACTAAAAAAAAGTTTATTTTTAGTTTTATTCTAAAACAATAAGAAATAGACCTATCAAACCCTATATTTTTATAATTAGAAAAAAATAACGAATTTAATAAGCGAATAACCAGTAGTTGTTTCCATTTAAAAAAACGAAAATTGTACATAAATACAGAATTAATACGTCATTATGTAAAACGTTTGTTTTGAGTTTCTGGAGAGAAAAACGGTATTTAAAATAAATTATCAGATTAGAAAGGTTGCATTAGGAATAAAAATTATTCTGCAAGTAATAGCATTTCACTATTTGCTGAAAATCAGGTAAACAGAAAGCGATATATAAAACTCTGCGCATTTGGATGAAAGTACCACATCGTTTGGTTAATATGAAAATCAGGGTGAATTATTAGGTGAAATTGAAGGACATTTAGATACCGTAGAAATTACTGTGCCATCAGTACTAAGTGCAGAAATAATAAACCTTGACCATGAAGAAAGTACATCTCCTTTCCTGGAAGACGATTGTGATTTTGAGGATAGTTCGGATGAATATATTCCTAATGCAGATGAGGATATCGACGACGAATCATCACTTTTTTGGTTATTTTCTAGTTCAAATTCTTTTGGTGTTTATTAACGAACTTTTTAGAGTAGAAAAGGCAAGTTTAATAATTTTTTCTACTTTCAGGTGTTATATAACGCATTATAAATCTGTCGCGGATAAGTTTCCAAAAGTTTGCTTACATGATGTTAAAGTAGGTTGACATGAAATTCTAAACTTTAACTTCCACGAGATGTCAAAAGTGTAAATTTAAGTTTGCCGGGAACCGTTGATGCCCAAGAACCCCCTTCTTATCGTTACTTCTCAAGTAAAAAATCTCAAGATGAAAACAGATACCAACAGTAAGAAAATAAATTACGGCGGTTTGTTAGATTTTTCATCGTTAAGTTTAAGAGTACAAATGAAAATAAATTACTGTTATTTAGATCAATTATCTTAATAAATATTAAATTAAAACGTAATTTTTTTGGATCGATTTTGTGATGTAAATATAGATTTCTTGGGGTAAAAAAGAATGTAGGGTGAAATAAAGTGGGAAAAAATGTGGGGGTGTTTAGAGTGGAATTGTTGGTTTGAAAAGGTAAAAATTGTTGGGTTTCGCACGCGAACCAACAGGAAGCGATAGCCTCTTTTCGTCGCTAACGAAGTTTTATCTTAACGAGCGCGCCCTCGAGTTGTACACCAGCACGCAATTGTCCGCTTCCTTTATTCCCTTCAACCCTTACCGCGCGGCGCGTTTCGCAATTTCTACGAATTAGCGGTTTTAGCGTAGTTAAATTTTATTAGGTTCGGCGTCGGCTGCACAACTTCCGTTCGTGGTTTAGTAAAAGTTCTAAAACGACGTTCATTGCATGTTAATGCGTCCCTTAATTTACAGAAATATCATTTTAAGACTCAAAAATTAACAATAGAACTTTATCATTTTTTTGCAACATATTAGTAGTTATATCATCAAACTTTACGGGGAAGATATCAACAAACAAATCAAGAATCAGAGAAAAAAAAAAGGAATTATCACCTCCCTCAGAGTGAAGCACCATATCGATACCGCTGCCACACGTAAGATCTTGATTAAGACAAAACAGGTGCTGATACGAGAAAGAATTCACAAAAGCTTTAAAGATCTACAGCAAATAAATGAGAGGTTACTACAACTCCATCTCTCACTTTCCAATTCTATGGTAAAAGAACACTGGGACAAAATAGACAACATAACCACAGAGAAGGCGAAACGTGAATCCTCCCGGACTGGCTGTGATCTACCGACTTTTCAACATGGCTATACGCCAATTGATCGTCGACGGATGTATATCTTTTACGTTTAGAGCATCCTCTATGGATTTGTAGGAGGTGTTATTAAAAGCACCCTCTATGTCTATGAAAGTACATAGGGCTATCTCTTTGGTTACAACTGTCTCCTCTGAAGTGCTTGTCAAAGCATGGAGAGCAGTAATTGTTTGTTTTGTTTTATGGTAAGCATGTTGACTCAGGTGGAGTGGACTAATGACAAGCACTCCATTCCTAAGATATATAGCTCAAGCTACAGCTTACTATACAGGTGTCCCACCTAAGTTGCCTCGATCCATAGCCGAATTATGATTGAGATGTTCAAAAAATGTTTCAGATAAAAGTTGAATCGAATCATATTGTACAGGATGGTTTAAATTCGATGTCCAAATAGATGGAGTATTATAACTAAAACATTATATGGACACTTTTTTACAAAGAATTTGATGACGTAGTCAAAAGAAATTTTTCGGTTTTAAATTTTGAGATATTATAACAATTTTCGTGTTTTTAAATGGAAACAACCACTGATTATTCGCTTATTAAATTCGTTATTTTTTTCTGATTACAAAAATATAGGATTTGACAGGTCTATTTCTTATTGTTTTAGAATAAAGCTAAAAATAAACTTTTTTTTAGTGTCGTCCTTTGATTATATATAATATGGATTGAGCCAACGAGAGAGATAGCTTGCGCAAGGTGATCGAACCGAGATAGACATAGAAGCGTACTGACATATAATGGGCGTGCGTTAATTTATAAGTTAAAAAAGTNTAGTGTCGTCAAATAAATTAAATTTACAGTTTCCTGTAAATTTTAACTAAAAATTAAAAAAATATATTTCTGATATTTGAAACAAATACATTTGTTGAACTGTTTAATTTATATTTGTTTTACACAAAGTTGGAATAGATTGCATTATTTCACATTTTTTATTAATATTTAATATTATTATTAAATGACTTAATAAATTATTGATAGATGGCGGTTTGACAGCTTGTCAGTGCATGTCACTTATTTCCAAAAATAATGCCGTCTTGTTGCCTTTGGAGTTGCAAAAATAGCAATAAGATGGCTTTTAACTCTTCGGAGTGCCACGAGAAAAAAGGAAATTTACCGTAATTTTATCAACAGAACGACGTAGTTTTAAATTTCCCGCTTGACTTTCGAGCCAAAATGGCGGCAAACCGCGGTACTATTTTTTTAATTCAAATGAACATAGCAACATTTGTTTGTATTCAAAAATTTTCTGAAGTGTCAAATTAAAAATCCTGTTTTTTAAGATACATTATGAAAATTACAAAACGTTTAACATGTTAGAATGTTTCATATTAGAAAATAAAGTAAATTTTATATACATTTTTTGTAGTTATAGTACCGTAATTTACAGGAAACTGTAAATTTAATTTCTTTGACGACACTAAAAAAAAGCTTATTTTTTACAGGGTATTATTTTTCCGGTATTTAAAAACACGGTGTGATATCTTATAGGTATAAAATAAAGACGGAATTTTAGTCGGTAACACAATCGACTAGATGGCGCTACATACGCAACTTGCAAACTACGTTACCAACACAGAGTCAAAGTGGTTGGTAACCACAGAGATACTCTGTGGTTACCAACTGTTACCAACCAAACCTTGTCACCGATTTTTACCACCGATTTTTGCGTTATTTTATATATTTTATTGGACTTTAGTTTAGTGCGTGTAGTGTATTGTATAGTTTTTAGTGCTCGTTTCGTTTAGTTTAGTGTATCGTTTAGTTAAGTGTTCCGTTCCGTATTGTATAGTTTAGTGATTAATTGACATTTTTATTCTATATTTTACAGTGGAAAGGTAATATATAGTAATTTAATTAATAAAGTAATAATAAAGGGTTTTGTTGTTTTTTCAGTTTTATTTCTAGAACAATGCCAGGTTATGTTCCCTGTTCTATTAAGGAATGCTTAGATGTCAGGTCTACTAGACATCGATTTCCAAACCCTCATAAACAACCAGAACGATTTAAGAAATGGATTAATGTTTGTGGCAATGAGTCTCTACTTGAATTGGATCCAGATAAAGTATTTCGTAACCGCAGGGTATGTCATGTACATTTCCAGGATAGCGATTTTACTGCAAATCAATTTATATCGAGAGATTCAATACCATCGTTAAGATTACCAAAACCATTAGATGATATTTTTTGTCATGGTAAGCAATACGTATTAAGAAATAATACAATTACAATTTTCGCCTTGATACACAATAGTATATTACATTAGGCGTCTTTCATTAAATACTTTTAATATTTTATTTTGCTTAATTTGTAGCACCATCAACTAGCAGCTTTTCACAGCTAATTTCATTACCTATGTCAACAGGTACCAAAAATATTTCAGGTAATTCATATTTCATTACATGTATGTGTTAAACCATTTGCTTATACCTCTTTATATTGTTGTAGAAATATGTACAGCTGAACCCATGTCACTTGAAAACAAAATCCAGGAGGTTAAACCTCAGAATAAAAGACCCAAGATAAGTAAGTAAATCAGGCATGTTAAACTCATATGATATTGCGGGCCACATAATTTTTGTTAAGTTGGGGCCGCTTGTTTAACATGTCTGTTTTAAAATATATTAAACATTTAATTATACATAATGTAAACTTTACATTTATTTGTCACCGAGAAGATATTATTAATTTTATCTTAAATATCTTTATTAAATTAATTTTGTTTAATTTTTGTAAACGAGTAAACCATATTTTAAAAGGTAAAATTACCAAAGTAGGCTCTAAGAATATTGTAATTGTGGAAGCAAATCGCTATTTTTTAAAAAGAAAAAAATAAATTTGTGTAATGTACCATTGTGTTTTATTTATCAATCATGTTAAAAAGTCAACATGTGGATTACAATTAATAACTGCGGTGATTATTTTGAAAATGTGTTAAGTTTATTTTCTAAATAAATAGAAATGATGATGAATTTTTACTTTTAAATTTGAAAATAATTGATCATCATTTTTAAATTTATTTCGAAAATGCCCTTTGCCAGTTTCAAAATAGTCTCATAGTATATACGAATACGATCATATATACATTTAAATTTCGCGGTTTTTTAAAATTACTTGTAACACAATCCACATAGAGGCGCTGCATTCAATTTGATTGGTAAAATAGTGGGGAATAAGTATAATATAAATATTTTCTATGTTTAAAAACAAATAATTATGTTTATTACACCAACTGTTAATACGTGATTATTTAATGGATTACATTGTTTTGGATTGGAAAAATTTTTTTTGCGCTAAATGTCTTGCTGCAAAATGACATTTGAAGCGTCTTATAAATTTGGTAATATTGCCGAAACTGTGAAAGCTAGAAAGATTTGGTTTTCTGTTTTGGATTAACAATAAAACATGTGTGCTAATAGAAAATTATGCATTTATATTACGGAGTTGTTAAGTAGGGATCTGTAATTTTTGAACTTTTTAATCATGGATAAACTTAATTTTTTTTAAAATGTGTTCCATTTAAAATAACAAAGTTGATATCCATTTCCGATAGAAGCAGAAGTCCGCCATTACTGAAACTAATTTTAAAATATGTACAATATGATTCGATTCAACTTTTATTTGAAACATTTTTTGAAAAACTCAATCATAATTCGGCTATGGACCGAGGCAACTTAGGTGGGACACCCGTATATAGGGATATTATTACTGGGAGTGTCTTCTATGACTTTTTATACCGGATAACCGGGTTTTCGCAAAATCACTACAACATTCCGATATTTCTATCTTTACAACATCGGTTTTAACGACTATAAAGTAATAACTCCAATCCATTTTTTTTTGTTAAATCTTTTCCTATTTTTTCATTTTACTTTTTTTAATGAAATCCGGGAGTAAAATGCGGTTCCATACAGATGTAGTTGGTGTAACGAAGGGGTTCTCGTTCGTTGTAGCGTGTATATGTGGTTCCGTTTTATTAAAGAAATCATCCCCGCGTAACAAATCGCGTATTACCCAGTTGCCCTTTGATGTTTCAACGAGGTCTTTTTACTTTAAAAGTTAAAAATAATTTGTAGGAAACCACAAATGTAAATATTTTTATTTTAGGTTAAATAAACTATAACCTCACTTTTAAATTAAGATGTTAAAGTACGTGACCTTGTTCTTGATTGGTTGAATTTGAAGCGCTTTGAAGTTATAGGTTTTTGTTAACAACATACGAATAATTCTAACCAAGTACAATATTTTAATTGAAATCCAAACATAATAAACTTATTATTGAACTTAAATTAATTAGTATTAATGCTGATAGCGATATCTTCACGGTTCAGACTTCAAACGATACTTAAATTTGTAAGTTATGTTAACATTTCAACTCCTCCTCGGGTTTAGTTTAAAAATAAGATTTAATATAATTACTCACCCTTGGTTCGTCATCTAACGATTGATAATAAAAATCGTTTAAATCCGCCGATCTTTTATGAACACGAGAGTGTTCGAATAAATAAAATCCTCTTAAACTTCCCACCTAAGAACAAATAAATAAAGTTAATACAAACATGTTTAAAAATATAGTTTAAAGAAGAGTCCAAAAACATAATAATTCCTAATTTAAACGGAAAAAAGTTAACGTGAGGATGTTAATGCATTAACGAAACCAAATGATGGGTTATGTGTTGGCGGAGGATGTTCCTAAATGAAATTCCATGTTTGGATGAAAAAAAAATGTACCAAAATTTATAATGATAATATAAGTATCGATTTCGAATAATTAGTTTATTATAAAGTTATTTATGACAGCACAAAATATACAATACGCGTCATGATTTTATATTTTGAAGGTTGGATTTTATAGGAAACTAAAGCGCATCGTTGTGTGCGATATATATCACGAATCCGGAAGCGAAATGCGATAGCTTTCAATAAGGCATCGCGTAATCCGCGATATCCTGTATCGTTGCCAGAAGAAAGCGTCGCCAGGAAATTGAATATAGACGCTGTACGCCCGAAGAACCAAACCTATATAATGCCTCAGGGAGGATGAGGCCGACTGAACGGTAAATACGTCGATACATAAAACGTAAAGGGAACAAAATATATCTTCACAAATATCAAGTCACATTTTTGTGTTATTTTTTGTTTTTTTCAATTATGAAACCAATATGTAACCCTATTTAATATTTAGAGAGGTTGAAAGAAACCCATTCAAGAGAGACGCTTTAATATCTCATTAAACCGCAATTGTGTTTTCAAAATTCAAACCTGAGGGGACGTAAAGCGCCGATGTTTTCAATAACTAACGAGAAACAGTCTCGTTTAAAGCCGGAAGTGCACTAAACCTAGAGAAAACGATACAATATTAATTATTTCCGACGATCATCGGTGTTCTTTTGGGACTACTTTGAATGTAAATAATACTGTGAAACTTCGATATAACGGATTAAAACGGGGAAGGGAGTGTCCGTTATAGCCAAAAGTTCGTTATACGAAAAATTTTAATCTACACAAATTCGGATTAAACACCGTTGCGTTCAGTTTACGTGGCTTTTTATTTATACCCAGGACGGTAGAATCGTAGAATATAAGAGGAGAGCTCGAAGGCCCGTTCGTGACGTCAGCACTGGACAAAGGAAAATATTTATCTCGTATTTTGTAGTCATGTGAAATATGTACAGCGGGTTCAAATTCGATGTACGAATAGGCTATCTCGGAAACTATAAGAGTTAGAAAAAAGTAGCTTACATGTCCCGATCTTTTTTTAAATAAAAAAAGCGCTATCGTCTTTTGTTTTTCCCCTAGAGGCCAAAATTGAAAATATCGTAAAACCAGCAAGTACAATTATCTTGGTTATTATTATAGGTGGAGTATTATAACTGATTCGGTTTTAGATTTTGAGATATTATGATAATTTTCGTTTTTTTAACCACTGATTATTCGCTTATTAAATTCGTTATTTTTTTTGATTACAAAAATACAGGGTTCGACAGATCTTATTGTTTTAGAATAAATCTAAAAATAAACTTTTTTTATAAAATTTTTAAACGCCGCCGAAATCTAGTGTCATCGAAGAAATTAAATTTACAGTTTCCTGTAAATTACGGGGCATTATTTTTCTGGTATTTAAAAACAAATAATTATGTTTATTACACCAACTGTTAATACGTGAATATTTAATGGATTACATTGTTTTGGATTGGAGAAATATGTTTTTTTAATTTTTACTTATAGTACCGTAGTTATTTCACATTTTTTATTAATATTTAATATTATTATTAAATGACTTAATAAATTATTGATAGATGGCGGTTTAACAGCTTGTCAGTGCATGTTACCACTTATTTCCAAAAATAATGACGTCTTGTTGCCTTTGGAGTTGCAAAAATAGCAGTAAGATGGACTTTTAACTCTTCGGAGTATCACGAGAAAAAAGAAGAAAGGAAATTTACCGTAATTTTATCAACAGAACGACGTAGTTTTAAATTTCCCGCTTGACTTTCGAGCCAAAATGGCGGCAAACCGCGGTACTATTTTTTTAATTCAAATAAACATAGCAATATTTGTTTGTAAAGGTTTGTATTCAATCATTTTCTGAAGTGTCAAATTAAAAATCCTGTTTTTTAAGATGCATTATAAAAATTACTTTAATTACTACTTAAATTAGTTTAATATGTTAGAATGTTACATATTAGAAAATAAAGTAAATTTTATATAAATTTTTTGTAGTTACAGTACCGTAATTTACGAAGAATGTTTCTAGTTTTAGGTGTAGTGTCAGTTCCAGTTTTGGTTCAATAGCAATATACTAAAACCTAGCGCTAACTGCTAACTAGCTCCTCTTAGCACTGTCATTAGAACTAACACTAGATCTAGAACTAGAAATATTCGGATTTAGCCGTCTTAAGAGACGTTCGGCTAAACCCGAATGTTTCTAGTTCTAGATCTAGTGTTAGTTCAATAAAAATATACAACAATTTGGCGCTATACAGGGTGAGTCATTAGCATCCTGGCGGACGATAGTTGCTAAACCGTTTGAGAAAGAAAAAATGTTTTATACAAAAGTTGTGTGACTCACCACTTTTTATTACATAAAATTATTTTCGCTTATACAGGGTGTTACATTTAAGCGTAACGGAGAGCATCTAGATTTTTTTAAATGGAACACCCTATACATTTTATCATATTATGAATAGCTTTAAATTTGTTTATAACCGTATATGTTACTAACTCATAGCGTTCATAGTTCCTGAGATATTTAATTGTTTTTCCAAAATGTGTCCATTGCAAGATCTTTTTAAAAACGATGTAAAACCGACATTTTTTCCAGTTTTGCCTTGAAACTATGTCAAATAGTAGTCAAAGCTAGTAGATAAATAATAATAATCAAAGATATTAGATACGCTATACAGCGTGTTCATAAAGCTTAGTTACTTTTGATGTTTTTCAAATGGCTTTTTCATAAGTTTTTTAAATGGAACACCCTGTATATGTAAAACCGACATTTTTTCCAGTTTTGCCTTGGAACTATGTCAAATAGTAGTCNACACCGTTGCGTTCAGTTTACGTGGCTTTTTATTTATACCCAGGACGGTAGAATCGTAGAATATAAGAGGAGAGCTCGAAGGCCCGTTCGTGACGTCAGCACTGGACAAAGGAAAATATTTATCTCGTATTTTGTAGTCATGTGAAATATGTACAAGATGGTTCAAATTCGATGTACGAATAGGCTATCTCGGAAACATTATATGGAGACATTATATGGACACTTTTTTACAGAGAATTTGATAGTGTAGTCAAAAAAATTTTTCCGGTTTCAGATTTTGAGATATTAAGACAATTTTCGTTTTTTTAACCACTGATTATTCGCTTATTAAATTCGTTATTTTTTTTTGATTACAAAAATATAGGGTTCGACAAGTTTATTTCTTATTGTTTTAGAATAAATCTAAAAATAAACTTTTTTTATAAAATTTCTAAACACCGCCGAAATCTAATGTCGTCGAAGAAATTAAATTTACAGTTTCCTGTAAACTACGGGGCGATATTTAAATTACGGGGTATTATTTTTCTAAACAAATAATTATGTTTATTACACCAACTGTTAATACGTGAATATTTAATGGATAATTAATTTTGGATTGGAGAAATATGTTTTTTTAATTTTTAGTTATAGTACCGTAATTTACAGAAAACTGTAAATTTAATTTCTTCGACGACACTAAAAAAATAGTTTATTATTAGCTTTATTCTAAAACAATAAGAAATAGACCTGTCGAACTCTATATTTTTGTAATCAGAAAAAAATAACGAATTTAATAAACGAATAATCAGTGGTTATTTCAATGACAACTTGGGTTTTCAGTTGTAAATGATTAAAAATAAAATAAAAGAAATAACACCACAGCAGAATGACGTCTGAAGACGCACGGCTAAACGAAGAATGTTTCTAGTTTTAGGTGTAGTGTCAGTTCCAGTTTTAGTTCAATAAACATATATAGCACATATATAGTTCGTTTTTTTTCTATAATACTTGTCAATGTAAATTTTTTAGGGTTTCTGTTGGTATTATCTAGGACTCTTATAAAATTTATGTTGTTTTCCTGATTTTTAGTAACATTTTCAGTAACTAAATAGTTGAGATTAAAATACTAATAAATTTTTAGATAAATACGATTTTAACGAGGTACATATTTATTGTAAAAACGTGCTACAAAGTAATTAAATACAACAAAACACCTTCTCTAGGTAAATAAATGGCAAATAAACACTCCACAACATTTTTTGTGCACTTTTTCTTTTTGAATAACGAAAGCTCAAACGTCAGTGTGACATATCTATTTTAAAACATGATAAAACAAAACACTCTGTTAATTTTGCCAACTTTACAACAATTTGACAGGTATTAAAAAAAAAAAGATGAACTATACAACAACTTGGCGCTATACAGGGTGAGTTATTAGTATCCCGATACTTGCTAAACCGTTTGAGAAAGAAAAACCACTTTTTATTATGTAAAATTATTTTCACTTATACAGGGTGTTACATTTAAGCGTAACGGAGAGTATGTAGATTTTTTTTAAATGGAACATCCTATACATTTTATCATATTACGAATAGCTTTAAATTTGTTTATACAACCGTATGTTACTAAGTCATAGCGTTCATAGTTCCTGAGATATACAATTGTTTTTCCAAAATGTGTCCATTGCAGGATCTTTTTAAAAACGATGTAAAAACGACATTTTTTCCAGTTTTGCCTTGAAACTATGTCAAATAACAGTCAAAGCTAGTAGATAAGTAATAATAACCAAAGATATTAGATACGCTGTACAGCGTGTTCATAAAGCTTAGTTACTTTTGATGTTTTTCGAATGGCTTTTTAATAAGTTTTTTAAATGGAACAGCCTGTATATTGTGTGCTGGTTGAATTGCCCATCAAGTTAACTTTAGTTAATGATAAGTATGTCATATATCTAACTTTAGTGGTTTTCCTGATATTTAGAATTTAAAGAATAATGTGTAATAAAATATGCGTTATTGTACTTTTATTCTTCCTTTTATTATTTGCTTAATATTTTATAATGTAAAATAATTTTGCTCCGATATACCAGATTTTAATGCGACTTGGTACTTTATGAGATTTAAAAAGATGTAAGTAATTAAATATGTAATTGTTCTGCCATATAATTTACGACTTTAGAGAAAATAAGATGCACCTGTTAAGAGATACCTCAAGATCTTTTATACAACAAATTAATGTTTGTAGAAGAGAAAAGGGGCGACATTTTGAACAACTTTTAAATATTAATTAAATTAATACCTACTTGTTGAGCAACGTTTAGTAAGTTTTTTTTAATTCTATTTTAATATAATATTAATGATTTACAAATGACAGACAAAGAAAAAAGAAAAAACAAAAAAGTTACAAAAAAAGGACAGAATATATTTACATTCTGTCAGTTTTTTAAGTACAATAATGACATTTAATTACACTTTTTTTAATTCTAAATATCAGGAAAGCTATTAAAGTTAGACATGTGACATACTTATCATTAATTAAAGGGAACTTGATAAGCAACTCAACTAGCACACAACATACAGGGTGTTCCATTTAAAAAACTTAAGAAAAAGCCATTTGAAAAACATTAAAAGTAACGTAGTAAATATATTGTATCTCATATCTTTGAATACTATCATCTACCTACTGGCTTTGACTATTGTCTGACGTAGTTTCAAGGGAAAATCGGAAAAAATATCGTTTTTTACATAGTTTTTAAAAAGATCCTGTAATAGGCACATATTGAGAGAACAATTGAATATATCAAGAACTATGTACGCTGTGAAATAGTAACATATACGGTTGTATAAACAAATTTAGTTGTATTCATAATATTGATAAAATATACAGGGTGTTCCATTTAAATAAATTCATATACTCCTCGTTACGCTTAAATTGAACACCCTGTATAAGTGAAAATAATTTTACGTAATAGAAAGTCATGAGTCAAACAACTTTTGTATAAAATATTTTTTTGTTTTACAAACGGTTTAGTAACTATCGACCGTCGGATAACAAATAACTCACCCTGTATAATAAATAAAACTAGAACTAACACTAGACCTAGAACTAGAAACATTCGGGTTTAGTTCAATAGCAATATACAACAACCTAGCGTTATCTACTGCTCACACGCTCTACTTAGCACTGTTACTAGAACTAACACCAGATCTAGAACTAAAAACATTCGAGTTTAGCCGAACGTCTCTTAAGACGGCTAAATCCGAATGATTCTAGTTCTAGGTCTTGTGTTAGTTCTAGTGATAGTGTAAAACTAGAACTAACACTAGATCTTACTAGAAACAGAAATAAAAAGAAGAATATATCTGGCCAACAAGACCACTTATTTTGGGCTGCGTAAGTACAGGGTGTCCCAATTTCGATGTCGACATAGGCTATCTCCTAAATTAAAAGAGATGGAAAAAAAGTAGCTTACATGTCATGATCTCGTTTTTCAAGAAAATGGTAATGCCGAAAACTTCGAACAGCTATCGTCTTTTGTTTTCGCCCTATCGGCAAAAACTGAAAAATTTGCGAAAACGACAATCGCGAATATCTCACTTATTATCAAAGATGGAGTATTATAAATAAAACATTATATGGGCAGTACTTTCTACGAAGAATTCAGTGGCGTAGGTAGAATTTTTTTCCCACCTTTTATTTTCGAGATTTTAGACGTAACTTTATTTTTTTAAATAGAAACCATAGTTGGCTATGACCTAAAATAATTTGTTATTTTCTTCTGATAACAAATATACAGGATGATTCAAAAAACCGCTGACAGACTCAAGGGCAGGTAATGTATCAAAAATTAAGATGAAAAGTCTTAAAATCCAAATGCCTCCTTAACGAGATATAGCGGGTCAAAGTTTCTTTAAATATTAAACATTATCTGCAATAAAAAGCAGATAGCCTTTTTTAGAAATATTTTCAACTCCACTGCTAATTTTGTCAAACGGGCGGTATTTTAAGAATGTTTCTAGTTCTAGATCTCGTGTTAGTTCTATTTTTAGTTCAATAAAAGTATAGAACAATCTAGCGCTGAATAACCACTAAAACTAGAAACATATACAGGGTGTACACAAAAAATGCTCCAAGCTGTAACACTGTCATCGATATATCGAGGTTTAAACTAATATGTAGTTAATATGGGTAAAAGATATCAACAAGGAGATATCAATAGATCTGTCATGAAGGTTAGGTCACATTTTAGCGGGAAAATATTTTTTTTTTTAATTATTTTTATCGAAAATTGTTTCAAATAAAAATGAATTGGAACTTCATTCGAAATCGAAATGTTTAATGAAATTTTTTATACCCCCATTAGGTGACGCTGTACATTGAAGCATAAAAATTAATATATTTGAGGTTATATTAACAATTATTGTTATTTTATTACTGAAATTTGTTTGGAATGAAATTCGTTTAGAATTGCGTTGGTAACAAATTTGGTTAAAAATGTTGCAATAGCGATATTTTTGGACTCCTTAATTAAATTTTAGCACATAAAATCTAAAAATCTAGTTTATTACCTGTCCACGATTGACGAAACCGTGTTTTGAAGCGATTTCATCAGCGACATCGTTACCTTCGGGTATATGAACGGCAAATTCGTTGGTATAAACGGGGTTGGAGCGTTGATACGTTGCCTCGACGCCGTTTTCGTTGAAAGCCGCAAACGCGCACACGACCAAACCGAGAATTTTCACCAAGACCATAATAAAAACACTTTTCTCACAGCGCACAACTCCAAAATAGTAGTAGGTTGTAGTAAAAATGTCGTAGATTAAACTCTTCTCCACTCCGTTTTCTCCACCAAAAAAAAATATATCTTATTTTTTGTATTTAATTTTTTTTTGTTGGTTTGAATCGATTTTGGGGCGATTTTTTTTGCAAGATAAATCCTGCTAATCATCGGTTCGATTTACTGGCACCTAAAACAAAAAATTTTTTTTTTTAATTAGTAATCATTAAAAGAAAATGATTGGGGTAATAAAATTAATTTTTTGTCATCTTGGGACTCTTTTTATTAAAAGGTCTGGTGAGTAATAAAGCCGTCTGGAGGACACCAAACGAGAAAACACCCCCAGTTTAATTTTATATTGAAAGCCCTGGGACATAATTAAAAATATAAATAAGAGGGGCAACGGCGATAAAATGCCTGGAACGCGGGGTGAAGGGAAATTCTTAGGAGCTTCGTAAATTTCACCCTCAATATATATCTTTCTAAAGAAAAATTGTAGGGAAGAAATAGAAAAGGTTTTTGTTGATGAAGAAATATTTTTTTTACTTTGTAAATAAACTTCTTTGTGTTTGAAAATTACAACGATAAAATTGAAACTAAAAATTTAAATTGTTCATTGTCCTAGTTTTTGAAACGTTAAATTTATAGATTTGATCATAAATATTTTATAACTTTATTTTTGTACTCGATATAAACACTTTGTTTTCTTATTGATTAAGTTTTAAAATTTTCCTTTAAGCTTACATAACTTTATTCATTAACATTTATAAATCAATTCAATTTCTCTTTAAAAAAATCTTCCTCATCAACCTGTTTTTTTTTCTTCCATTAGTTACATAATGAAGAGTCAAGGCTGGGAGATCCCATGGCGAAGTGCGGTTGACAGTTTACATAACGATTTCGCGTTGTTCCATGTTCGTGTTAGTCAAGTTCAACATGCCCCCCATGTACAAAGGTAATAGGTACAATGGACGTGTTGAAAACGCATTTGTATCGATTTCCACGCGATACCGTCATCGTGTCCTCGTCGTTGTTATTGTTGTCGTTCATTGTAGGAAAACGATTGTGTTAAACGCCAAAATTGAAGCTATTTCTGGTACAATAAACAATCTATTCTTAATCTATTAATAAATGTATGTTCGGTATGTGTTCGGAGCTTAAAAAATCAATTTTAATACAATACTTTCTCATTGATTTTAAATTTGACAGGTAAACTGTCAAATTGACGTTTCAATTGATTAGTTGTCAACTTGACATATAAAATATAAAGATAACTAGTTTTATTTGTTATATAGCGCCAAGTTGTTGTATATTATTATTTTTATTAAACTAATAATAAGAGTAGATCTAAAACTAGAAAAAATTCGGGTTTAGCCGAACGTCTCTTAAGACAGCTAAACCCGAATGTTTCTAGTTCTAGGTCTAGTGTTAGTTCTAGTAACAGTGCTAAGTTGAGCTAGTTAGCAGTAGATAGCGCTAGGTTATTGTATATTGCTATTAAACTAAAACTAGAACTAACACTAGACCTAGAACTAGAAACATTCGGGTTTAGCCGTCTTTAGAGACGTGCGGCTAAACCCGAATGTTTCTAGTTCTAGGTCTAGTGTTAGTTCTAGTGACAGTGCTAAGTAGAGCTAGTTTACTAATACCTACGTTATCTACTAGCTAGTAGATAAGGATTTTTAGACACAACCTAAGGAACTGTTCTATATGAAGCTGGCGAGCACACTCCCTTGTAGAGGGTGTGAAATAGAAGACGAGACGGTAAGTCATATAGTTTGTGACTGTTCCAACCTCGGGTTTTTTGGGAGTTTTTTGGCCCCTGAATGAACTGTAAATTGTGATGATAAATAACTTTGTTGGTTCTCTTTGACCTTCGATACCGGGCCCGCTTANCTAACACAAGACCTAGAACTAGAATCATTCGGGTTTAGCCGTCTTGAGAGACGTGCGGCTAAACCCGAATGATTCTAGTTCTAGGTCTAGTGTTAGTGACAGTACTAAGTAGAGCTACGTAGCGCTAGGTTTTGGTACCAAACTATCAGAAAATTTACATCATCATGTTAACATCAAGACTTTTCAGATTCAATCTAAGAATAAGGATTTTTAGACACAACCTAAGGAACGCCAATGAGTATGTTTTATTGTTAGTTAATAATATAAAGAGTTATTAGAAAATTAATTATTGTATTAGGGAAATTTATTAATTAAGGGTCATTTCTTGGATGGGGGTCGCTAAAAGCTTTAATACGTTTATGGTTTATTGAAACTCGTGTGAGCAGAAAGCATGAATGTGTAAAGAGAGGACAATTTCGTGTTTATTTATTGGATTTTGGAGAGGAATGTGGACTCGAACTACATACACCAAAATACAAAACAAAAAAAAGAGTATTGCATAACCGATTGAAAATACGTTTCAGTATTCGATGAATTTCGTTAAAACATTTATATTTGGAAATGTGGTAAAAATTTCTAATTTAAAATAATGTAGTTAAAAATGAAAATAATTTTATTTATTCATTATCTTTAATAATAAACATATATTTTCGATTCGCAGTGAAAAACGCAAAACGTAACATAAACCAGTTACGACAGAACGTTACAGTCAGCGAAAACTTTCCCAATCAACCACGTCGCTTCGCACGATATCAACTCGAGAGTAATTCCGAACTGTTTAGTGCGCTTGTTATCGTCGAATTAATAAGCCCTCGGACTCTACGGACTATAATCACGCGTATAAAGTTACCCCACCAGCAGGAGCACCCCATCAAAACGCGCAAGAGGAACGAGGAAACGAACGAACGGTAGCGGTCTCATTTCGACGAGTTTTGCACTTTAATACATTAAAACGAACCCACGCGAAATTAACCGTGTTATTATACAAACAGGAAGCTCAACAAGCTTTTTAATCGAAAACATTTTTATTTTTATCATTTTTGTTAAAATATTTTTTAACTCTAACCTTTGTATATTTATATGGTGGTTTCGGTAAATTATACATGTAATGAATAAGGTAATAAGGGTTCTAAAAGGGAATATAAACGGAAACGTGATGAGGGAACTCCAGTGGGGAAATAGGAAACGTTTTGATAACGAAATCTTACGAAATTGGCGTTTCAAAACGGTTCANTAAATTGTGATAATAAATAACTTTGTTGGTTCTCTTTGACCTTCGATACCGGGTCCGCTTATTTATCGTCGAATTAGTTTCCTTAAACTTTCGAGAACCCATTATTTAATCGATAGATGGTTTGGTCATTGCTGAACATCTTCTGAAATTTTAAACGTTATTGCGAAGTTCTTGTCTCCTCAAAGTGTTGAAATTCTTTTGATGAAAAATTTTTCGTCCAATATTTATATGTTAATACGTAGATCGTCAATTAGAACCCGATTAAGGTAAATTCATTTTTAACTTGGTACAATGAAAATGTTGGGTTTTACGGTGTTTATTCAGAAAGTTAGCGCTAGGTTATTGTATATTGCTATTAAACTAAAACTAGAACTAACACTAGACCTAGAACTAGAAACATTCGGGTTTAGCCGAACGTCTCTTAAGACAGCTAAACCCGAATGTTTCTAGTTCTAGGTCTAGTGTTAGTTCTGGTAACAGTGCTAAGTTGAGCTAGTTAGCAGTAGATAGCGCTAGGTTATTGTATATTGCTATTAAACTAAAACTAGAACTAACACTAGACCTAGAACTAGAAACATTCGTGCGGCTAAACCCGAATGTTTCTAGTTCTAGGTCTAGTGTTAGTTCTAGTGACAGTGCTGAGTAGAGCTAGTTTACTAATACCTACGTTATCTACTAGCTAGTAAATAACGCTAGGTTGTTGTACCAAACTATCAGAAAATTTGCATCATCATGTTAACATCAAGACCATTCAGTCTAAGAATAAGGATTTTTAGACACAACCTAAGGAACTGTAAGTCATATAGTTTGTGACTGTCCCAACCTCGGGTTTTTTGGGCGTTTTTTGGCCCCTGAATGAACTAAATTGTGATAATAAATAACTTTGTTGGTTCTCTTTGACCTTCGATACCGGGTCCGCTTATTTATCGTCGAATTAGTTTCCTTAAACTTTCGAGAACCCATTATTTAATCGATAGATGGTTTGGTCATTGCTGAACATCTTCTGAAATTTTAAACGTTATTGCGAAGTTCTTGTCTCCTCAAAGTGTTGAAATTCTTTTGATGAAAAATTTTTCGTCCAATATTTATATGTTAATACGTAGATCGTCAATTAGAACCCGATTAAGGTAAATTCATTTTTAACTTGGTACAATGAAAATGTTGGGTTTTACGGTGTTTATTCAGAAAGTGATGTTTTGTATATCAATTTGGGTTGCATAACTTATTTAATTTAAGTCGTCGATATTTTACATGTCAAGTTGACAATTTGAACCGTCAGTTTGACAGCTTCATCATCATTATTGGTTTTACAACCCTGAAAGGGTCTTGACCTGCTTAAAGATTCTTCCATTCCTCCCTATTACACGCCACCGTTCTTCAATATGATCCATATATCTCATCTTTGGCCTTCCTCCCGGTGTTTGTCTAACTATTTGTTTCGTTGGTTCCACCTCCTTCATCCGTTTCATCTCAGTCTTCCAATTTTTACAGTTATCATTATATCCGGTTCCTTGTATTCTTGATACAGTTCATGGTTAAAACAAAAAAAGGGTTTTCTTGGTTAATATGTTTGATTTCAAGTACTTACGGAGCCCAAAATAAGTCTTGTTGGCCAGATATATTGTTTTTATTTCTGTTCTTGTGTCATTTTTTTTTGTTACTAATGATCCCAGGTATACAAAACTAACATTTGCATATACACTGTTGGAAATAATTCACGAGCACACCCTATATAATCTGAACGCGTGAAGATAAATCCATAATATTTGCGGAGCACAAAGGTTTACTGTAGANATATTTATATGGTGGTTTCGGTAAATTATACATGTAATGAATAAGGTAATAAGGGTTCTAAAAGGGAACATAAACGGAAACGTGATGAGGGAACTCCAGTGGGGAAATAGGAAACGTTTTGATAACGAAATCTTACGAAATTGGCGTTTCAAAACGGTTCAGTGTAGTAATTGCGAAATAAAAGTTATTATAATTACGAAAATTATTGATCGTTTTTCTCTTTTCTTGGAAAAAAAGAGTTTAACGTATTAATAAATAATACAAAT